GTGGTGGCGCACGAGGACAAACATGAAAGCGAAATCGCTCGAGAAGTTGCGGGGCCTCATTATGCAATGATTGATTGATATGTGGGGTTTAACGTCTCAAAACCACCATATGATTATGAGAGACGCCGTAGTCGAGGGCTCCGGAAATTTTGACCACGTGGGGATCTTTAACGTGCACCCAAATCTGAGCACACGGGCCTACAACATTTCCGCCTCCATCGGAAATGCAGCCGCCGCAGCCGGGATTCGAACCCGCGACCTGCGGGTCAGCAGCCGAGTACCTTAGCCACTAGACCACCGCGGCGGGGCTTTTTTTCTTTTTTTTCACCCGTATAACACACACGCTTTGGGTTACGCGAAAGCGCTGCGCAACAATGCGTAAACGCGATTAGTGTAATCCGGGCTCGGTTCTCACGAACCTGTGTGTTGTAAACCCGGATCTGTTTAGAACAATGGCTCGTTTTGTTGCCTAATACTTGAACGCGCAAGGATACGCACGCTGCATGCGTTAGGGCCTGCTCCCCAACACACATATACATATAGTGCAGAACTAATTCGCGAACCTAATGGCGGCAATATGAAATATCGCTAAATAGTATAAGTGGGTTCTGTCCACTCACACTGCGATTCCATGAACGGCAATCGTATAAACAAAGCTTAATCATCCAAACGATCGCCTAAAATTACACATTTCTACATGCAAACTAAAGAAGCGGCTAAAACGGACGCGACAAAAAATGAGTAAATGCGGGAGTTCTGCCGTCTCAATTCGGTATTCAAAGACGTTTCTTTGTTTATTTGGTTTTACGCTCCACTCGGGCTTGGAGAGATGCCGTGTAGAGAATTGCTACGGAAAAATCCTACTACCTGGGATTCTATAACGTGCATTGACACCGCGCAATACACTGGCATCTACCATTTCGCCTCTATTGAAACAAGACCACCGCTGCCAGGCTCGAACCCGAGTCTCTCGGATAAGCAGTCGGCTGGCGCGCCACCACCGGCCACCGCAGTGCCCTCGGTCGATAAATGCTTTTGCATACAGTTACCGCTCTGTAACGCTTGATGCTCCGGCACGGATCATGCAGCTTTTGACATTGAAAGTGCTGGTTAAGTTGTGCAAGGTTTGCGTGTATTAGCAGGTATCTATAACTAGGATGAGCGATACAAGTACCTTACCGTAGAGATGAAGACATAATATGTCTCCCGTTCTTCACGCCAGCCGGCGTCATGCGGCAGCACAGCCTCATTCTCCTCCTCTCTCTACACAGGGAGTTGCCTACACAGATGCCTCATACATGGCTCCTCGGGGCTCGTGTGGCTACGTTATCTACCATCCACACCTTTCGGCACCTGACACGCACACCAGCGGGCCATACTTACACCCGCCAAATGTACTTTCGCTCGAGGTCCTTTCCATGGTCCACGCCATGCAGTCATTTTCCTCCCTCCCTTCTCTCCCCGAGTACACGATTTACTCCGACTCTCACGCCGCCATCCATCACATACAGAACAACACGTTGCCCCCTGCTCTTCAACAGGAGGTCGAGCGAGCGGCCTCTGCTCTTCAACCCTCCACTGTCTTCCTCCGCTGGTTTCCTGGGCATTCGGGTATTAACGGCAATGAGCTAGCTCATCAGCTTGCCCGCGATATATTGCACCGGGCACCGTTCATTCCCTGGCCCACACCTTCGGAAGACAGTGAGAGATCCGCGAATAACGATGGGCAGATCTCCTCGCGTCACACTATCAAGGAGGTATATCTCCAGCTCCGGCTCGACAAGCGTCTTTACCCTCCCCCTCATCCATCACTCACTGCGCTCGAGGCTCGAACTCTACGGCACATCCAAATGAACTGCCTGATAACCCCCTCTCGCCTTTTCCTTTATAAAGTGTGTGTGTGTGTGTGTGTGTGTGTGTGTGTGTGTGCGTGTGGTGTGTGTGTGTGTGTGCGTGTGTGTGTGTGTGTGCGTGTGTGTGTGTGCGTGTGTGCGTGTGCGTGTGCGTGCGTGTGCGTGTGTGTGGTGTGTGTGTTGTCAGAAACAGCAATAAATACCTCAGAAACGAACGTTCGCGAGTCTGCGCACGCCTCCTCGTGCTTAGTGTCACAGAACACTGGTTTCCAAGCGGCTGATACGGAAGTGGCAGCGTCACGTCCCTAATTGGCTCTGTCGCAGGCAAGAAGTGGTGGCGCACGAGGACAAACATGAAGCGAAATCGCTCGAGAAGTTGCGGGGCCTCATATGCAATGATTGATTGATATGTGGGGTTTAACGTCTCAAAACCACCATATGATTATGAGAGACGCCGTAGCGAGGGCTCCGGAAATTTCGACCACGTGGGGATCTTTAACGTGCACCCAAATCTGAGCACACGGGCCTACGACATTTCCGCCTCCATCGGAAATGCAGCCGCCGCAGCCGGAATTTGAACCCGCGACCTGCGGGTGAGCAGCCGAGTACCTTAGCCACTAGACCACCGCGGCGGGGCTTTTTTTTTTTCGCCCCTATAACACACACGCTTTGGGTTACGCGAAGCCGCTGCGCAACAATGCGTAAACGCGATTAGTGTAATCCGGGCTCGGTTCTCACGAACCTGTGTGTTGTAAGCCCGGATCTGTCTAGAACAATGGCTCGTTTTGTTGCCTAATGCTTGAACCCGCAAGGGTACGCAGCGTGCGTTAGGGCCCGCTCCCCAACACACATATACATATAGCGCAGAACTAATTCGCGAACCTAATGGCGGCAATATGAAATATCGCTAAATAGTATAAGTGGGTTCTGTCCACTCACACTGCGATTCCATGAACGGCAATCGTATAAACAAAGCTTAATCATCCAAACGATCGCCTAAAATTACACATTTCTACATGCAAACTAAAGAAGCGGCTAAAACGGACGCGACAAAAAATGAGGTAAATGCGGGAGTTCTGCCGTCTCAATTCGGTATTCAAAGACGTTTCTTTGTTTGTTTGGTTTTACGCTCCACTCGGGCTTTGAGAGATCCCGTTTAGAGGATTGCTACGGAAAATTTCTACCACCTATGGTTCTATAACGTGCATTGACACCACGCAATCTACCATTTCGCCTCTGTCGAAACCAGACCGCCGCTGCCAGGCTCGAACCCGAGTCTCTCGGATAAGCAGTCGGCTGGCGCGCCACCACCGGCCACCACAGTGCCTTCGGTCGATAAATACTTTTGCATACAGTTACCGCTCTGTAACGCTTGATGCTCCGGCACGGATCATGCAGCTTTTGACATTGAAAGTGCTGGTTAAGTTGTGCAAGGTTTGCGTGTATTAGCAGGTATCTATAACTAGGATGAGCGATACAAGTACCTTACCGTAGAGATGAAGACATAATATGTCTCCCGTTCTTCACGCCAGCCGGCGTCATGCGGCAGCACAGCCTCATTCTCCTCCTCTCTCTACACAGGGAGTTGCCTACACAGATGCCTCATACATGGCTCCTCGGGGCTCGTGTGGCTACGTTATCTACCATCCACACCTTTCGGCACCTGACACGCACACCAGCGGGCCATACTTACACCCGCCAAATGTACTTTCGCTCGAGGTCCTTTCCATGGTCCACGCCATGCAGTCATTTTCCTCCCTCCCATCACTCACTGCGCTCGAGGCTCGAACTCTACGGCACATCCAAATGAACTGCCTGATAACCCCCTCTCGCCTTTTCCTTTATAAATATAGGTCTAACCCCTGCTGTCCTAATTGTTCCTCCCCATACACTGACCTGTCACACTGCCTGTTTTACTGCACAACTGCTCAGCAATCCAGCTATTACCCTCCCTCATCCCTTTCCATCACCTCCTGGCTCGACTGGATCGGCGCCGAAGGGGAAGAAGAACAGCGTCGACTGGTCGAACAGGCGGTCGAAATGCTCGGCCTGTAAATTTGGCTGAATAAAAGTCTATTACTACTACTAAGAACGTAAACGAAGTAAGAGAAACTATACGGTTATTTTAATTTGTTTGCGTCGTCATCTTGTTTTTTTTTCTCTTATTTACACTGGGCGAAAAAGAGGGGGCGGGGGCAAGTTTCACCACAGTGCAACCCCCCCTCCCCCAGCCATTTCATCAAACTCGAAAAATTAAGTTTCGAAATGGATGAAAAAAATGAAAATGAAAATTAAGCGATGACGTGCTCCTCATCATGACTGGCCATCTTTCCCCGGCTTTCCTGGCCTAAAGATCTAAAGTGAACGGTTCTTGGGATGCAACATCGGGGGTTCTCTGCCCCCATCATCGACAAAAACTTGCACGGCATCACATAACACATTAAACACTGCCTCCCTCCTACGCCCCGCCCGCACGTCTATGTCAGCGGCAACAGTAAAGCGGCGAAACATTGTAGCCAGTTCTTTGGCGTACCGTCGGTTTGCGCTGTCTCGCACACACACTCGTCCAAGGAATCTACAGAGCATTAAAAACAAATGCGCGAAATCAAGCTGTAACTTTGAGGAGGCCCTCCGGTGCCGCCTCCCATAAGCGAACAACGCGGGACAGCTTGCAGCGGTTGCGAAGCCCCATAACGGCAATCTTGTAACCGTGGTGTGCCGCCGTACGTAGGCGTACCACGAGGAACTGCCCTCGTCGCCGTTTCTGTGCGCGCGCTTCGCAAGCGAGAAGCGCCCGTCACGCTTGGGAACACCGGGGCGGCGCGCTTTCCTCTTTAGGGGTCGCTCGGAAAAATCTTCTTCCTGTCTTCGGCACGTCGTTTTCGAAAAAGCCCCCTCCCCCCCTCGGCCCACGCCTGCCGAGACTGCGCTGCTGCTGCCGAAAGAAAAATGTAGGTTGCAAACTCATTCACATGAATAATCGAAATAAATATAATATAAACATAACGCGCGAGCACCACGCTCACACATCGGTTCCGCAACACTGGGTCCAGCACCTCCTCACCCATTCCCTCTGCTCTAGTCCACGCTGTGGACCCAGGTATAAAAGGGCACGGGCTTTTCGGCAGCATGGCACAGCCACTCCGGCGAGAACCAAGCACCAACATCTCCCACCACCGGTGAGTTGGGTGATCGGCCGCAGGGTTCGCAATCTTGGGCTGAGTCCTGAACCGGCAGTGAGACATGGAGCCCCATGCCATCAGCGACGATAGGGCCCGGGACCAGTCATCGGTGTGCGGTCCTGCCAATCTCCGCCTATCGGATACTCTCTAAAGCTAGCGGAGCACTCGTGACTCCTTTATCTCGTGGGGAGTTTTTTTTCTTTTCGCCCACTCGGCTTCGTTTCCTGGAGTTTCCACCGCGCAGTCCCTGGGTAGAGTACGTTCACTCTGATAGCGCACTAGCATGTAGAGTCGAAATTATTCAATCATATCTGTAGAAAATGGAGTCGATCGTTGGACAGTTTCTTGGGTGATAGGTTATTCCCGTAAAGCGAAGTCTCCGTCCTTATCGGAAATGTCAAAGTTCAGGTATGCCACGTCTCGAGGATGAGCCAAGAGTCGTACAGTGTTATACGTCTACGCTACTGTGATAAGAGAGTAACAGCGAAGATCGTTCGCGATGTGGCCGAACGTAACGATGTGGTCTAGAAGCAAGACTTAGTAAAGGCAGGAAGGTTTGGAGAGTTTGGCATCCTTTAATTTTTCTTTTAACCAACAGCACAGGTTTTGAAGTGGACACAGGTCAACTGAAAAAAGAAGGAGACGCAGGTCAACCATCTTCCAAGCCCCTACCAGAGTCATACTCTTTTCAATCAACAGCATTTCTAACGTCCTTCCTCATCTGTTAAACAAAAAGATATATATCCAGCTTCTCGCAGAAACAGCCATATGCGCATTAAGGCGGAAGTTCAGAAGAAGATAAAGGCTTGAAGCGATGATGAATTCCTGAAGACGAGGTGTCACTGGAACCAACGTTTCGGCCAGTGGTCATATGCCCTTTAATATCGCAAGCTTGAAGACAGGACCACTTATCAAACCATAGGCTCCATTGACAGTCCGAATTTTTTTTTTTCTCTTACGTGCATTAGCAAATTCAACTCAGCAAATGGAGTTGGGACTTTTCCCGTATGCCTGTACTGGTCGAACGTGACTGCGAAACAGTGACGCTCGACACAACCGGGCACATCATTAAGATGTCCACGCGCGTATAATGCGAAAAGACGGCGCCTTCGCAACTGTAGTGGTTCTTTAATACTTCGGCTAATCTCATCTGCACCCACGCAGCAGCCGTAGCCGCTGACAGCCCAGCCAAACGTTCAAGATGTACAGCCGCCGAGTGGCCCTCACCTTCCTCTGCCTGACCCTCGTGGTGGCCCTGGTGACGCAAGAGGCACAAGCCAGCAAGCTTAAGAAGGTGGCCAAGTACGCGCTCATCGGAGCCGCCCTAGCGCCAAGGGTCGTCCCCATCCCGATCCCGGTTGGGTAAGCGAATACGTGCAATTCAACCGCTTCGAACCTCAGTGGATTCTCGTTGGCAGAATCGACAAGAGGCGATGGTCTCACAGAGAATGAAAGAGAACTGTAACGAGTAAATGCAAAAAATGTTAATTAGGAGATAAATATTCCGTTTGCTACCCTGCACTATAGGGAAGGGGTAAGGCAACACAGAAAAGTAAGGGGGATAAGAACGAGAGAGCAGGGAGGTAAGTATATGACACAGGAGTGTCATATAATCAGGCCGCTCGCAGAAACTTCAGCAGCGCCTTCGTCACTTTCCAGTGTGAAGCTCGAGTTTTTCGGCCTTTCAAGATTATTTTCTCAGAAAGCAGCTGGTCATGAAGGTACTTGTAGCAAATGTTATGTTATGTTATGTTATGTTATGTTATGTTATGTTATGTTATGTTATGTTATGTTATGTTATGCACGTAAATCAAGGTGTCTTGATTTAGAGTAAACGTGACTGCTCCACTGGTGTAAGATCACACGAAGGGATATTTTCTGTGAGCCACGCGCTTGGGTTATGCCAAGAAATACGTAGCCCTCCGGTTGAGAGCAAGATGTGTGAGAAGTAACGCGAGTTGTCAGAGCGTCACTTTTGCCAGGTGTGAGCTGTACATCTGAGCACACCGTCCGCGTAACAAACCACCGTTTCCCCAACAAGGTTATCGCGCGGCGACAGGCGACGTAGATGACCCAGCCGATGGCGCTACACCACGCAAGGGTGGGTCTTGGACGCACTGTTGTAATGGAGGTCGGCAGTACAGATGACAGGCCCCATTCGCCGACGGACAAAGTTCACAGCTGTACCGGCGGCGTCGGGCATTGGCAAGATAGGCGCGCCGAGTGTTGTTGGCTTTGGTTGGGTGTGCCAGGAGCGCGGCGTGGGCACGTTTGACAGGCGGCGGAGTCCTCCAAGTAAGGAAGTGGCTATATGTATACACGCAAACGCGGTAAGTCAGAGCGTGCGCGAGTACGCGAATATGCATTCTCAGGCGATCATGGTAAATATGTCGTCGCCCAGTGTACTCATCTCTTAGTCAGTTGGAATTATTTTCCTTGGAGATATGGGTGTCACACTAACCGACAAAACGACAGCTAAAGAACGACCACAAATCATAGTGTTTCCAAATGAGCATTATTACACGCATACAGACATAGGCACTACGAGCTGATGTCCCTCGTGTACCAATCGGAAGATTATTTCCTGATGACGTCACGTGAACAGAATTCTGGTCGAATTGCAACGAAAAAAAAACATGAAACGCCAGGAAGAAACGACGAGCTCATTCTTTGTATCTTCGAGGATGTTCAGTGGCTCTTTTAGCTAACCTTTATAGGGCAACCTAGCGTACGACGTCATTTACAAATATATCGCAGCTGTTAGGCTCACGTTCATTCACCACACTTTTAAAGGGTGATTTCAAATTGACGTTAAAGGTTGACCTCCCTATTGTCGCCCACGTATGGTACAAAATACAGGCGAATACGACGAATATTACCCATAAACGAGTAATGTGGCACGGAAGACACTGTTCAGTCTTTTTTTCTGCAGACCAGGCAGGGGCGCCGCACTCCGCTTATACTTATCGAGATCAACGCGTCGTTCTCGCCTGTATTATACAAGGTCTACCACGAGAAGCCGAGAGATAAAAACATCTTTAGCGAGGTTTTGCTCGCATAAGAAACCTGTAAGCACCGCCAGCGATGACACCATACGTTTGCAAAGAAAAAAAAAAGCGCACCGCAAGGCGACCCCGGGGCCTCAGTATGCAAGAAGTAGACGACGACAGGTCATACACGAGGAAGAGTACACAAGGCTACGTCCCATTATCGCGATTGCGAGCCCGTGAGGAAAAAAAAAATCGGACGGGTTGATAAGCGGGCCACTATCTCGTACACAGTAGATGAGCAGTGCTTTGAGTGCCCGATATGTCGACGAACGCACACGCTAACGGCCAGCGTACGCGGTCTCCGTACGACATCGTCAAGCAGCGTGTACGTGTGTCCTTATGACAGCGAATCCAAATGACAAGGAAGTGCGAAATGTTATACTGTAGGAACATTTGGTGGCAAAATATGCCATACCAGACACTCCTTAGTGTGAAAGAGATGGGCAGGGGGTGGCTGAGAAATACTTTTACACCCTCCCCCCCCCCCCCCAGTTTCTCTAACGTGCACCTGAACCTAAATACGGGGGGAGGGGGGGGGGCGTTCTGATATGATTGCTTGCGGCCATCGATCGCCTGGCCTTTTTTTTTTGTACTTGGAAGGGTAATTCAACAGCCCCCTATTTTGCCACTTCGATCGTTTCGATGAAGTGTCAAAATGTGAAGCTCGTACATTTACGGTTGAAGTCAATGTTACCGGCGCATACGCAAAAGAAAATACGCAAGGGCTTCTCCTTTTGTGCAATCCGCTAGCTGTTCTTCCAATCCATCCAAACCCTTGACAGGCGTACCCAGGTCAAAGCTCTCCATATCATGTTGCGTAACACGTGAACTGCGTTTCGCGTGAGGTTATCTTATCGCTTCCACAAGTACCATATCTTGTTTTGAACGAAAGACCAAGAACATAGCACACGTTTGCCTTGACCTGTGTATACATGGCGCAATCACAAAACATAAATACCGGCGACCCAGCTGAAGTGGCGCGCGGACGTGAGAACATGCTTCAGTGACCTATATGCACTTGTAAGTCTACGTGCATCGCAAAACTTAGGGTATAAATGCCCTTCACGATAGTTCACCAGTGCTGGCAATACGCAGATAATCAGTGGGTAAAAAAAACACGCTGCGTCTATCAACGATGACAGGCAGATATAAATGTTAGAATCAGCATAGCCCCTAGAGAAAGTGGCAATCTAGCCTGCCACCGTAAATGATAATGCGTAGTCATTCGGGACAAATTGACAAGTTCTAGCCTCATGCCACGCGCAAGCTACAGCGGCATTCATCATGCTTTACAAGCTTCTTTGCTTCCCCTCCCCCCCGGTGCCCCCTCACTTAACGACCTGCAAAATAGAGAAAAGGAAGGAGGGTATGGTCAAGTTGCATAATAATAGCATAGAGTGATTATGAAACATTACACATAGCGATTCGCCAACTTTCAGTGGCATACAGTTTGGTCACCATTGCTTTGCAAGTACACTCAAACCTCAATATAACCAGCCCGAATATAACGAAACATTGGTTATAACGAAGTACACGAAGAACAGTCTCGAAATAGACATATCAGTACTCCACCATTAAACGAACTTTCGGTTATAACAAACTTATTTTCGTGTAAGTGCAACTTTGTTATAACGAGGTTCGAGTGTAGCAGTGAACATTTCACAGATCTAATAGTCGTTAAGCTGTTCATATACGGTCAACTGTCCATGACTCGTACATCTTTTGCAGCCACCACGCCCACTACGAGCCCCACTACGACCACGGCTGGCACGCCGGTCTGCACGGCAGTCACGGTTGGTGGTGAGAGAACCGCCGCGAGGGTGGTAACACACCCGGCGACAACAACGAAGTCAACTCCACCCAAGTTCCCCGCTCCGTACGAAGAGCGCTCACCGACCACCAAATGCGTGACCAGTGAACCTACAGTTGTTCGTTTTCAAAGTGTTTGTGTATATATACGCCGAGTGTGTACGCGTACCTGACAAGCCTACCATGGACTCACACCGTGTTTCGTCGTCGTCCTCGTCTCCTGAACCGACGTCTTTTGCTCGTTCTTGTTCGAAGGTCTTCGTTTTTTAATAAAGCGAATAATTCATTGATGACCCCAACACAGAGCCCACTGTTCGTTCTTCGCGTGAGCGCAAAACACTCATCCGGCATGATGATGTTCAGGAAACATCGTTACGAGACGGGACGGGACGAAACGAAAGAACGTAGCGCAGTCAGATGGCGCTGTGGTCTGTGCTCTTTCATTTCGCCACAGCAATCTTTTTTTAATAAAGTGCATAAGTCGACCAAGCTTGAAATCTTACTACGTGTAGTCTTATAATTGGTTCACAAACCTCCAGAAACATATACCACATAACGACAGTGTCGATGTGCGCCTCGGCTCACTCCTCTTCATCTTCTTTGCGCAGTATCATTTTGCTCGAAAGCGCGTAAGCAACGATTTTCTGGTGCGTGGTGGCGCCTGCGCATCTGGGCGAGAACTTCCACCCACAAGGCAATCAAAATTACTGCTTTGTTTTTCTTAATTTCTTCGTTTTCAAAAGATATTTGTTGGCGTGCAACTGCACGATTTTGTAAGGGTTACTCCATCGTCGACGAAGATTTGGGCACTTGTCCGCAGACCGTAATTTCAAGTCCACTTTTCACCGTATCAACATGTTCTCATATATTACGGTTGCCTAGTGTGATGCCACAAATACCTGCATACGGCATATCAACAAACTTATTGTTCTTTCCTTTTCTATCGAACATGTGAAAGTCCTCTAAGAGACTTTCGTTTTCTTTACACATACATAAACCTCGTTAAAAAAATAAAAGACGTTTCAGGAAGCTGTGCAAATTCTCACTAAATAGGCTTAGTCGAAATGTAAAGAAGCAAAAAAAGAGTTCTGATGCTTGTTCGCCATAGTTAATAGGCAAAAAAGTACAAGTCTTATTTCGCTCAAGAGCAAGGTCATTCGCGAATGAAAGTTCGGTGAGCCGTAATGAGGACTTTCAGTGGTAGCGGTGCGCAGTTGCAGGAATATATTACAATGTGTGCATTAAGGCAGACCGCGTTTATTTACAAAATGACAACGACGTCAGACGATGGCAGGCGAAGATGGAGTCCAGAAGCCACACCCGTTAACCTCTTCTTCCTCCTCCTCTTGCACGGCTCACACTGCAGCAACATGTATGATATACCTGCGGCCCAGCGAGACTACAATTTTGTTTTTACATTCTTGCTATTTAATAGCACCAGGACACGACAACTGGTACTGGAACCAGAAATCGCTTCGAATACCACACGAATCGTATATAGACGTATATGGTCCTTCGTGCGATTGTGTAGCGCATGAAATTAACCACACGGAGGAGACCGCGGGACGACCTCAACAACACAAATATCCAAAAAAAAAAAGGTGCGTAAACGGTCCCGTCGGGCGTCGCCTATCACGAGACAAGTTGCGCCATCTTCGATGAAGGCTTGCGTGCTCTTGCGTCACAGCAATCATTGAACATCGTGGAATGCGCGCCTTGTCGCTGGGCTGTAGAACAGAAAAACGAGAAGAAAAACGCCGCACGACTTACAGGGAGCTCCTGGTCTTGGCTGCCCAAGCTGAATGAGTCGTTGAAGCCGGGTTGCTGTGCCAGGAAAAAGAGAGAGAGAAACTAGGTATAGATAACGTCACGTAACTCTGACAAAATGAAATGGGCCTCATGTATTTAGCTATAATGACACAGGGTGTGTGACAATCAGCTTATTCTTTTTAAAAAAAGAAAAAAAGATGTCACGGTGCATGAGCTCTTCAACTAGCGGAAAAGTCGCGAAGTTCCTTTAGATCTACGAGGCTTTCGTTGTTGCAGTACCGATTGTTCTGGCACCTACCTAAACAGCAAAGTGCTGCACGGGAAAATTAATCAGGCGGATTGTGTCGAGTCGCATTTCCTCGTGCGGTGCCTCAAAACAAACCTGCACATAGAACTTGATTATGACGATTAAACAATTTGAAAGCTTGTGCATTCAGCACAACCAACAGTACTGGTGACGAAACACGAGCTTTAACCCGTCCGCCTGTTCGCCATGTACAGAACTCAACTAAAAAATTGTATTTTCGCGCGTAAATGCAGAATCGCACTTGCGTATACGGAAAGAAGGAATTTACATCAATGCTCAATTTCTAAAAAAATCGATTCGCAGAGTCGGCAGCGAGTGCGAATGCAGCCGATGAGCCCTCGATAGCAGATCCCACTGACAGTACACTCATATCTGTTTCGCTGAACGGTCAGATACACGGAGATGCCACGCATCTCTCTGAAACGCGTACTACGAAAACCCTAATCTTAGAAGGCATCGCGAGCGACCCGTACCAAGGTCCAGTCGACTCCGGGCTGGACAGCGACCGGCGACTCGTCCTCGTCCTCCTCTTCTGGTGGCGTGAGGGACGCCGCTTCCGCCGGCGGTCCTCGCAAGGTCCCTTTCATCTTGAACCCCAGCACGGCCACGCCTGCGCAAGGGGCACACGTCGACGTGTCTCGGCCCTTGGTCATCTCGTGACCGTCGATTTGTCGTTTTTTGTTCTTTATGTTACCTTTGACGTCGGGCGTGGCGATGGCGTCGTACTGGTTCCAGTGGTTCTTCCACAGTGGCCCCGGAGGGGCTCGACCGCTGGGTGGCGCGGCGGTCGACAGGCGCATCTCGCCACGGCGTCCGTCCGAGGCATCGCTGGCATTCTGCGGTTAGCAATTAATACATTAATCTAGCCGCTTATGGCGAAGTAAAGTAGCAAATTGGGCTAGTTGGAACATACTCATCAGAGAACGTGTGCGTCTTGCACTTGTGTTTCCGAGTCTATCTTGTTTTTCGCTCACCGTGACGACTAAGTAAATTAAATTGCTAGGCTATGAACGACTGCGGTGAGAGAGCGTGACCGCCATTGCCGAACATAACGTTAGACAGTTTCAGAATAGCGTACGCAAAGCTTCGTGTCAGCGTTTGTCACCACTACGTATACGTCATGTTCTAACTTCTTATTGTGGTTTACGGAGTTCCGTGAGCGAACTGTGTGAACAGAATCGCCGTTCGCGCGACGGCTGAAACAGCACTGTAACAATGTGAATAATGAGAAGGCATGCTCGAACGCCATCGCCGAAAATGCGCAAGACTCAAGTCATGCGATAGACTGGGGCAACATGCGTGTCATCGAAGAAGGACCTGACTTCCGGATTACATCAGGGATCTATGACGATACAAACTAGCAAAAGTGCGCTCAACCACACGTACTGTAGCCCGCCAACTGTGTACGAAAAATGCTTAACTAGGTCACGTGCTTTAGCCTATTTAAGCGTTTAACTTTCCTGTGCACAAGGCTCCCATTCTGGGTGCCAGAACGTCAGTGCATTGTTTATCATCTTGTGGTCGGCATTCTCGTCTATTTATTTAATGATTCTTCCCGACCAGATAAGTTTCTATGCCTTGACTTCACCAATTGGGTACCGTTTATTAAAGAAGCGCATGCTTCTGGCGCAGAAAGGTATATATACAAAAAAAGTGCCGCCATATCCACGAAGTGAATGATGATGAGTGGGCGAAGCTCCGGAGGTAAACCTGGTAAACCATAAATCCTCCGTACATTTTGCCCACTCGATTTTATTGCAACGCTCCCCCTAGCGTACGTCGCCGCACTATATCGAACGATGACACGCGCCATATGTGGCATCATTCCTATTTTATAACACCTCGCATCTTTCATAATCAACTACACGTACCGCCATCTAGTTTATAACATGTTGCATCTTTTGGACGGACGGACGGACGGACGGATGGATGGATGGATGGATGGATGGATGGATGGATGGATGGATGGATGGATGGATGGATGGATGGATGGATGGATGGATGGATGGATGGATGGATGGATGGATGGATGGACGGACGGACGGACGGACGGACGGACGGATGGATATGGCTGTACCCTTTAGATCGGGCGGTGGCTAGCGTAATACTTAGAACTGAACGAGAGGTGGCTACATACAGGGGACGCACAGCCCACGCCTTAAGGAGCTTCGCTCCTAATAGTGAAGAAATCCCGGAGGCTAAGCAGGAAATGATTGATATGTGGGGTTTAACGTCCCCAAACCACCATATGATTATGAGAGACGCCGTAGTGGAAGGCTCCGGAAATTTCGACCACCTGGGGTTCTTTAACGTGCACCCAAATCTGGGCTAAGCAAGAAAGACAATACAGTTAGCCCTGTGTGTACGCTACAAGTAAGCACCAGTAAGCACCAAGAAAGATTGCTCAAGCTTTCGTCCATATCACTCACGACGGCTATGTAACACAGACTAATTAGGTAGGCACCTTAGAGTGTAAGTGAATGCATCGCCGCCTATAAATGCTATTGCGCGTGTAACAGCATTCCTGATGCATGTACGCCCATGTGACCAGGCATGCGTCTAAGTGGGCGGTACTTGACCGACCGTTGCCGTAATTCGCTCGTCCAGTTGCCCGCGGTGTTTCGGACGTTTCCCAATGACACACCGTGAAGGTTAAGACTCGTCTTGACGTATGCATCGGGCAAGGCAACACATCCTGAAAGTGGAAATGTGATGCTAACGCAATGTAAACGACGAACAACAAGCTGGCGACCGGGGCGTGTACAAAAGAACGCGAACCCAAAAGGCTTTTCCGGTAAAGCCCATGTAGCGTTACGTTAAGAAACGCCGAACGACGCCGCCGTTATAATGGTCCCTTCTGCATGAGTGAAATCTGGTCAAGGGCTCTCGCTAGTACATGTGTATACGGTGTATATACAGGTGTATACGCAGACGACGAAGTCTACGTAACGTACGCGGTATGCTGGGGCGCATACCTGGTGGGCGGCCGGGTCGAACACGTTGCGCACGTCCTGGCGCGCGTGGTGCTTGCGCCGACGCAGAGTGACCGTGTCCAGCCGCCTCTGGACGGCCGCTGCCTGCTCCCGGCTCAGAGTACGCACGTACGACCGGGCCGCCGGAGGGGGCGCCACAGGTGGCGCAGATCCGTCGCTATGCTGGTGATGGTGAGTCCCACCACTTGACCCTGCATGATTGTTTCGCTCGTTTGTTTTTCAAAGCTTATAAAAAAGTGATGTACTGTCCTATTCCGTGAGAACATGTACCCATGGTCTGAAGGACCTTCCATAGCCGATTTCTTTGTTGTTCTATTTCCGTGAACAACGCCCAACTTAAAAAAGAGGAGACAGGGAGATTTATTGTGGTGAAAAATCTGATCGCCTTTGTGGAGGATGGGAGAAACTACCACAATGTATCAGCCATTGAAACGTACTCACCGAGGACATCGTCAAGCACAAAGTCGAGTCCCACCTCGCGGAGCCAGTCCGCATCCTGCTCCTCTGTAATGAGAGATGAAACCAACTTAATTTATACACGAGGCGGAGTTGTTAGCCCGGCTGATCACCTGGCATGTCACATATTGTCTAGAGTGCAAGAGATAGGGGAGGGGGGGGGGGGGCGTTGTGTTCACACAGCAGGAATAGTAGGTGATATTTACGTCGACTATGTCGAAGACAGAGATCGCAAAACACGCACAACATATACACAGTCACAAATGCATTCGTGGTTTGATGATTGGTATGTAGGGTTTAACGCCCCAAAACCCCCATATGATTATAAGAGACGCCGTAGTGAGGGGCTCCGGAAATTTTGACCACATGGGGGGTCTTTAACGTGCGCATTCGTGGACAATAAAACTACGTGTTTAGAAGGAGAAGGACGGGTAATCACAAGGAACGTATTCACAATGTTTATTTGAGGCACATGTACCTACACAGCCTGATTTGCGAGTACGCGAGGTGTCAGCCCAGTCTTAGACTTGGTATAGTGACATTGTTACTGGTGCGTTCTTCCAGCAGCAACACGTATCGAAAGCACTGTTTTAAATGTTAAGGCCAATCACACGACTAGACAAACACACGTGTTCGCGCAATTATCCACCCAAAAGCATCTATAAGTAACCAAACATAACTTGCAACCATCATTTACATATAATTTTGACGGCACGAACGCGTGCACCGAAGAAAGGTTAAAAGAAAATTAGTGAATAAGCAGTGCCAGCAATAGTGACAGCAATAAGGAAATGACTGACAGAGCAGGGGCATCGCGCAGTGGTTCAAATATTATTACCGACACAGGCAGTTATCAATCGATACGAGTATACCGTCATCTTACGCGATGCACCTAAAATCTGGTGTATCGTACAGCGGGAGAAAGGGTAGGAAAGGGCGGCTCCGGTTGCCAGTGCACGCTTTTCTTAAACGCGCCAGTAATAGGCTCCGGCTTGTTTCGAGATTCATACTGAAAAAAGAAAAAGAAAAAAGACAGCGCGAAAAACAAAAACAAATACGGGACAGATAAAACAGGACTAGCGCTATCTGTCTCGTTTTTTTTACTGTCTCGTCTTTGTTCATCCTAGGGAGCACGGTAAGAAAAATCAAGTACGAAAAATATATATATGCAGGTCGTGTTTGTTGTTTTCGCGCTGGCTTGTAACTGTGAATGTGTACCAACTAGCTGCCGTTCACACGTTTCTCAGGTTGCTCCGGGACTCAGATGCAACCTGTTGATGTGTTCGACAGCGTGCGATACCTGGATTCTGGTGGGTCGCTCGATCGTCTTCCTCTTCATCGTCGTCGATTCGGAAGTGGTCGCACTCGCTCCAATAGGCGTCGAACTGACGCCCGTGGCCTTCGGTGGCGGCCGGCGAGTTCCAGAACACTTCCCCGGAAGGATCTGCAAACACGCAGAACGCAAAGTCATCGCATAACACTTCCACTCTCGCGTATACTCTCCAAGCGTACTCACAACACGTACTCTAACCTCCCTGTCCTTCCTCATTTATTCCTCCTCCTCCTCAAAGCGAAAACGGAAGCGCTTCCGTTTTTCGTAACAATCCCCACGGGAAACGTCGGCATTCAACACATTTGCGCTCGCACTGCGTTCAACACACACAAAGCAGCGTTGCTCGAAAGTATTTACATCTATTACGAGAGACAGTGTTCAATATTTGCGCTGGCTCCGAAAAAAGAATATCTAAGAGTACACGAGACCATTCATTATTATTATTTTTATCACACAACACCAAGAGACAACTTTAGGTCAACATTAGCACGCGTTCTGTTCCACTTACGACGGCAGTGTGGATGGAATATAAGCATTCGGGACGGTCATCGTTTTCGAGCCTATATCTGTATGTGTCTTTATATGCATGTGTGTTTACATAGTATGCACAGCTGGAGCAAGGTGGCTAATGCGTGGGCCGAGAACTTCCGTCGCGTCACGAAGATTGCGAGCAAACAGTATGAGGCGCAGATTGTTTACTCAATGGTTGTTGTTTTTTTTTTTCTGACAGTGTGGTCTGTTGAACTGAAACCTTACAGCCATTTCTTTTTTTATCAACGAGTATATGCGTTTAACTGCCGCTATGCGCTTCTCCGTGCGAAGATGGCTTCGTCAATACATGCAGAGACCCGAACCGATCACAATTTTTCGCAAGAATAGCCATTTGGATTTCGGAGTAGGCAAGCAAACATGCCAGCCATGTAGGCTACCCTTCCACAGTTTCCCAGTACCTATCTATCATTGAAGGGAGCTTTACGAGTGAGCTGGAAGCGGGAGTACGCATTTGAGTATACGCTCCACCGGAAGTCTTACATATTTGAGTTCTAACAAGAGAGCTGATGATTCAGGTGAGGACGGAAGTAAGTGAATGCGGATGTTTGTACAGCAGAGTGGGAAGACACGCTGAAGGGCTTGTTCCTTTTTGCTGAGTTTGCACACAAAAATACATTACAAGTCATCGACAGCCCTATAGGACGAGTCGCCGAGATAAAACAGTTGACGCCAACGTTCCGCTCTTCAAGCGCTTATACAAACAACATAATTTTGGCAAGCTCGACGTTCCTTTCCACCTGTGACCACTCGAGCATACAGCACTCACGGTTCTTGATTAAGTATGCCCTCTATTCTTTTTTTTTTAATTTAGCACCAGGACGTTTGTCATAATTGTCGTACAAAGAAAAGTAATCGTCACGCACGGGATCATTGTATTCACTCTTGTAACGTAGCACTCGCTGGCAATGACTCACGTTGACTGACCTAAATTAGCATGCATAATTTTTAGTGCTGGCTAGCATCGGCTAAAATACGGCAAGTAACGCCTATAATGTCGGCTCACGTCTATGTTTTCCGTCGTCCCGCCGCGGTGGTCTAGTCGCTAAGGTACTCGGCTGCTGACCCGCAGGTCGCGGGTTCAATTCCCGGCTGCGGCGGCTGCATTTCCGATGGAGGCGGAAATGTTGTAGGCCCGTGTACTCAGATTTGGGTGCACGTTAAAGAACCCCAGGTGGTCGAAATTTCCGGAGCCCTCCACTACGGCGTCTCTCATAATCAAATGGTGGTTTTGGGACGTTAAACCCCACAAATCAATCAATCAATCAATCAATCAATGTTTTCCGTCGTCATAACAGCCACACTGTGTTGATTCTATGTAAATGCAGTGGTGCCCTCGCACACCGCGCTGCATTGATACGCAGACGACGACCTCTTTTGTTCCTGCCCGACTTCTTTATTTGTGCGCATCACGATCGATCGATCGATCGACTAGCAGTCCCTATAGAGATCCCGGTTTGCGTCCTATAAAATGTGTCGCATTGAAATTCTCCTAGTACGTGCGTAAACTATGATATCAAGCTTGAGAGAAAGAGTAACAACGGAAGCCAAGACAATAACTAAGTGTATCGGCGATGAACTTCACTGGATGGAAATCACTGTCCCCGGGGTGTTTTCTTGTCGACGGAAACTGCGGGTTTCCTTTTTGTTCTTTTTTTTTTTCGTGCCAGATCGCCAGCAATCGGTGGGGGCTATGACTTGGCAACGTCTTCGGGAAACAACAAACGAGTAACAACATCGTTAGCTGTCCCCTCGCTGGCCGCTTTTGTCGTCACGGCGTCGCGAAAAGTCTTGGCGCAGACGCGCGAGCTCTCTGTAGACGGCGCCAACATCGATAAAGGCCAGTATTAGTTGAAAGCTGGCGACGACGCCGCTGTATATTCATTTATGACGGTCTCGTACGCAGTCTTAGCGATATGTTTTACTTGAACGATCGCGTATACACACGAGTCACGTTTTCAGATTAGATCATCTTCAAGCGATGAGTCACGTGTTTGTATACCGGAACGTTTCAGCGTCGCACCAGAAGATAAAGTGCCCAGGAATTATACGAATACAATCATCTGTTCGAACAGCCATTCTAAATAGTTCCTAAATCCCCCCCCCCCGTCAAAATATGGCATTGTATTATAAAATGGAAACGAAACACTTACAGGTAGTAAAAGTAAATAAATGGCAAGCCGTGCTTCGGCATGCCTCACTATGTCCGCATAATTCTGTTTCCGTAGTAATCTGTGCGGGGACACTTCTCTGTACGGACTCGTACACCCGAAAACGAAAAACATTAGGCGACCTTGTTCAGAAAATGTGTATGCCTGAACTGCTACTTTCTTTCTTTCTTTCTTTCTTTCTTTCTTTCTTTCTTTCTTTCTTTCTTTCTTTCTTTCTTTCTTTCTTTCTTTCTTTCCTTCCTTCTTTCTTTTTTCTTTCTTTCTCGTTTTCTTTCTCACTGCAAAATGCTCCCTCTTCTTTCCTTCCTGCATGCCCGGAATACGACCATTATCAACGTGCTTAGATGAGCAACGATTCATTTGCTACAGGCAACGAGGGCGATCATGCGTCCATTACAGCCTGCAATTAAATGCGGCAACGTAAAATCACAAGTCACCTGGATAAAAGATCAGATTTCCATATGACAAACAGCTGATCGCCGACAAGCCTATGACAGAGAGAAAATCAATCATTGTAAAATAACGCATACAAATGTGGTCGTGGCCAGCGCACCTTCGAAGGCCGCAATTTTTTACACTAGAAATTCGGTCGGGTCAAGTTGGTGGATACGCTATGACTGATTACTGTTAAAAAAGTTGTGGCCACTGACGCAGCCACATGGGACGGCTGTAAGCTCTCCCATAGTAGAGTACCAGGTACTCTAAATCATTAACCCTTATTTTCTGAACACACTTGCCCCATACCAAATTTCGTTAGCATTACCTACACAAAACGACATTTGTGGGCACTACCACCTCGGTCGCCGAACCCTACCGCCTTTACAGCGTCAGTTGTCCCGCAGGCGTGAGGTCCTCCGGCGTAAACTACAAACCCGAACTTTTCCTCTCCCCTACCTCACGCCACAAGATTTTTCCCGAAATATACCCTAATTCAGACTGTAAGTTTTGTATGGTCAGGAAAGCGGACCTTAACCACATTATGTGGCAATCTCGAAATCACTCTCCTCCCCCGAGCCTTCGTAAACAAATAAGTATATAGTCAGGAGCTGTGGGAGGCTGCCATGCGCAGCTACAACCCCAACCTTCAGAAGGCTATCCTGAGGTGGTGGTGGTGGTTAGAAGAGGAGAAAGGCACCTAATTTCTGCAGCCCGGTAGGAAGCGCGGCGCAGTGCCTAGAGGTGGTAGAAGAGGCCTATACCACGAGTAGCATCCCTCTCCTTTTCGCATCCCCTTTCCCTTAAGATGGAAAAAAGTTGTTTCTCTCTCTCTCTCTCTCTCATTAGCATTATCCACGGGACAACTTTTTGCCCTCCCATACTAAAGTACCAAGTACAAATCGTTTAACACTTAAGCCACGCCGTTAGGTTGAGTTGAACACGATAGCGATAGCCTGTCCCTAGTGCGTGCCGATTGATTGATATTTATTTATTTATTTTTGTTTTATTTTCCAAATACTGTTAGCCTTTCGGCTGTTACAGGGGTGGGACATACTGAGAATGACAAACATCAATACATTCAAATCATACAGCAATTTAAACAGCAACACTTAAACTTGGAAATGTTACATGACATACATTGGAAACACCGGCATTGAGGCTGAAGGAAAAACAGTGCAGTCGTAGTAAGCATACAAATGAATTGCAATAAATTAACATAGTAGACCATGCTTACAGAAAAATATCTTTGAGCCCTTCCTCAAATGTTTCTAGTGAATCACAATGAACCAGTGGTAATGGCAAAGCATTCCACTGACGAATCGTTTTTGGAAAAAATGAATTCGCATATACATTGACACGCTGTTGTGGCACTTCGTATGTGTAATTGTCTACACTTCTTAGGTTTCTTCCGCGGCGTGGCGTCAAGTATTTTGTTGTGTTTACGTTTAGTTTATTTTTTGACAATAAAACAAGAACTTCATCCTTGCCATTTGCCGTCGTTCAGCTAAAGTGGGCAGTTGAAGAGAGCGTAGCATTTCTGTTACTGACTCAGTCGAGGAGTACTTTGAAAGAATAAACCTGACAGCTCACCTTTGTACTCTTTTTAGCATATTAACGAGGCCGATATGTGGGGTTTGACGTTCGAAAACCACCCAGTGCGTGCGTACCGAGTTCAAAATGGCTAGTGTCAGTGAAGCTTTTGCATATGGCTGCTTTCAGTGTAATGGGTAACATGCTTTGAACCACGGGATATTGTGCACGTGAAATCTTTTCGAGGCTTGATATGCGCCCACTACGTGGTCTTAAAAGAAAAGGCGCTGTAACGTGCGTGCCTTTTGTAGTTGGTGGCTCGCTTTGAACCGTGAAGTCGTGACCATCGCATGTTCTGACGCCCGATCGCAATGTACGCTTGCATACCACGCATTATTACTGCGATATCACATGCTGCATTGC